ACCAGCATTCTGGGTGCTATTTTTTCCTTTGAGTACTGGAAGCAGTACATTTCTGCTGCTAAGCCCAATACCAAAGAGAAAAAGGGCTGTTGCAAAGAGGAGTAGTGCAAGTATCTTAACCAATGGTCTGTGAACCCCTGAAATCCAAAGAAGGACTTTAGGGGCCCAGATACTGTGCACCATCTTCCTTAAGCATGTGGCTGGGGAAAATTTTCTCAATGCAGTCAGCTCCTGATTTTGTCCTTGAGAATAATTACACCAAAATAAAAGTCCTTTTTGGTGAGCTCTCTTTGGAAACATTTATGCCAACGATGTCTTTAAAATGGTGAACATTTCAATGCCAAGTACAACTTGAATTGGATGCGAAATCTTGGTATTCTCTGCACAGATGGACGACCTGTGAAACTGGCACGGCCTCAGCCTTTGCTACTTCACTAAGGAAAGATGCTCCACATGTCAGGCTTTGTACATGGGCCTGTGTTGGTGTCAACAGCCCTTCCAACAATCCCAAAAGAGGTCTTTCTACTGCTGTGAAAGTCTTCGACTTCCTTAGAGCCAAGAACCCGAATCAGTGCCTCTTCAGTAGGTCTTTGTCAAGATACAAGAACATGCACCATGAGGTTCTTTCCTATGAAAGAAGTTTGCTGGAAATCCAGAGAAGAAATTTAGAAGTGATTTGGTTTGGTTAATTCTTTAAAAATTTTTAAGAGAAAAGAAAATCCTTTTTAGAGCAAATTGATAGTGAGAAGTTCATTCCGGGACTAGCTTTATAATGGGTGATATCTTAGTTAGATAAATGAGACAAATCTCTTGATTGAAATGCTGAATTTTCCACTAGAAATGCTGCTGAAAAACTATGAGCTTTTTTCTTCTTTTTTTTTTTCTTTTTTCTTTTTTGGTCATGATGCTACTTTAAATGAGGTAGCTGAAGTCTAACAAAAATATAAATTCTCCAATGCTAGAAGTGAGACTGACAAAGTCTTGAGAGTTTCTTTGTATGGGAGTCTATAGACACTAGGCAAATGGCTTATCTCTTTTAAAAGTCACTTTTTTTTCAGGCGGCTTTAACACTGACAAATGGCTGACATAGATAGCCTTGATGATATAGACTTAACAAAAATAATTTCTCTGATGTGAGGACAAAGGAAACTACGTAATATGGAGTTTGGTATTTTCTGATGTGTGCCTACCCATATGAGATACTGTGAGCTGCAGGAGTCCTGACTTCATTTGCTGTTTAAGACTTTGTGGACTAGAGTTTTACCTCTTACTGCTGTTAAATTGAAGCATTGACATTGATGAGATGTCAAATATAATATTTCAATTTCTTATTCCCACCAAATTGTGTAACATTCTCACAAGAGTGAGAAAGTCATAATTCTCTGTAAATGCTGCTTTGGTGTTCTGACTATGTGCAGAAGATCTATTTCCAAAGCAATGAGATAAATAGTAAGCACATTTTTCTCTGTGTATGTGTTTATGAGTATTGTTTCTAGGTGGCTGCTCATAAATTGAATCAGATTCTCAGAGAGATTTGCAACTCAGGAAAAAAAAATTTGAAAAGAACAATTAAGGTGAGGGATGAGCTTATCAAACAGCTTGACTATTTAGTGGGATTCCTTTGCACTTGTTTCAGTAGAGTTCTGCAATAAAATGAGCTGCTATTGCCTTTTTTTTCACTCCACTGCTGAGTGATGCAGACCAGAGTTGGCTCTATTACTCACATTGCAGAAGATAAAGCCATACCAAAGACAACCGCATGGCTGAGGGCACGGCTGAAAGTGAAGGCGGGAAAACAGTAGAGGAAACCAGGAATGGAAGAGGAGGAAATCTTGTTTGTTTCCTGATTTTATTAAATCTAGCCCTGGATCTAAGGGACAAGGGTCTTGGGAGGTGGACTAGAGTTTACTATAAAGTTCTTCTTGGAATAATTTTATTACTTTAGGAGCAATATATAAATACATAAAGGTTGCTGCTTCAAAATAGCTAATTCTCAGCCTGATCAGGACTTTCTATTTTGCTAATTAGTTCAGAATTGTGGTGTCTGAGAAGAGGAGGGTTGCTGATAACAGAAGATGGGTGATCAGCATGCAGAAGCATGCTTGCAAGTTCAGTCTCGTGACAAGTTATTTCCAACCTTCCCTAGCTCTGATGAGGTGACACTATTATAGAATAACATGTGCAAACACTTTTATTCAAAGTGATATATCCCAGTTTCAGCTGTCATATAGTGTAGAACATTATGCCCTTTTTTCCCTTGCTGGTTTGATGATATGAAGAATATTCTTAATATAATCGAAAGGTGTACTTGAGCTCACCAACGATAAGGTCTGTTCTTTTGCATGTAAGAGTTTTTAAGTCAGTGATCTATGAGAGTGGGTGTAGACTGGTTCTCAAATTTTATATTCTGAAAACTTCCATTTCCTGTTTAAAATCTCTAAAAACAATAACTCACCAGAGTGGTAGGGATTTTATGCTGTTGAAAGGAAGATAGTAACTTTCCCACTTACGAAGGTAGTAAAAACAGAATGCGTCTATTGAGCCTTAATGGGTGTCTACAAACGTAATGCAAATATGATTTCTAGTTTGTGATGTTTGAGGGCATTCTTAAATTCAACAGTGTAGTGCCATGGTGGTTTGGGTAGTGGGGCATCTCTGTCTTTAAAGTTGCCATGAACTGGGCACTCTCTGGCAAGTCCAAACCCCCTTTTGATTTAGAACAGAACAAGGTTTAGAGGGAAGTTGTATATATTTGAATAAAGATCAGGCAGAGGCTGCTAGAAGATGGAAGAACGTAACTGGTGAGACAATGGTGTGCTGTGCTGATGTTGTGGCTAGTTGGAGGGGTTTAGTTTATAGAACTTATCTTCAGGATGCAATTTCTAATTATGTTACATCTTTTTTTTCTTAACACTTGTGACATCGTTTTTTGATGTGCCTAAAAATATGAGACTTTTGTGCTAAAATGGGCTTAAGAATAGGCTTTCTCGAACACTTTATGCTAGTCATCTCTTATTTTCTATTTGAAACTCCTCTAGAGACTAATTCGCTTTAGGTTATATAACTATTTGGTGTTACAACTTGGAATGAATCAGACTCGACTTCCAGACAAGGGTTCTTTTCCAATATACCAAGTTGCCTCGAATTAAAGGCAAAAAAGAGCATACAAAGAGAAATATGTTTTTCTTACTTTTTGTTAATAGAGAATAGTAAAATAATAGTATTTGTTTTATTCCTTTTTTTATATAGCAAACATGCATGTATTGGTTCATGGAGATTATTTTCTTAGTTTGAGGTAAATAGTGTTATTAATACTCTTTGAAAAGTAAAAGAAACAGAAAAAACATTAGCACAAATTTTAAGTTCTTAATCTGTCTTAGGCTGAACCAACATTAGACCTATTTTTTCATAGTTCAATGTAGAAAACACCATAAGTACTCATATGTTTGTTTAATGAATGAATAACCTAAAAAAAAACCCATTCATTTAGGACCTAGCATATACCGGGCCTGCTAAATATTATCTAATCTTTGAAATTCAACTCCCTTCCTACCTCTCTTCAGAAGCCTCTAAAATCCTTTAATTAAAAAGTCCTCTCCCTTTACTATCTATATAGTATCTATAGCTCACATTATTTGCTCATTCTTTACATCTAGCAATTCTTTCCAACTATTTACTTACATGCCTGTAAGCAACTACTATCATTTTGTGTGTTCCAGATTCCCTTAGGAAAGTTTTAAATTTAGAAAATTAATAATTTTTTTGAGACTAAAATTTTGTCTACCTGAATTTTAGCTTAAAAAATTTGCAAATCTCAATTATGGTAAGGCTAATTTACATTCTTATTTTTTATAGTAGGTAAGTAGAACTCCAAACATTTAGATGGAACTATATAAATTATTGAGAATTTCACATAGTAAACTTAATACTTTACTGTCTAATGAAAATAACATGTGATAGACAGAAAACTAGAGGCACAAACACATTAGTGAAAATGTGAGAAGCATCAGAAGACTTGATTATTTTTCACTTTCATATTAGTGTTTTAACAGATCTTATTCAGATCTTATTCTAGTTGGTTCGAAGAGTTCACATTCAATTAAATTAAACAATCTTGAAATATGAAGAACGAACAGCTTCACATAGTCTGGGGGGCAGAAGATCTGGAGGAGGGGGTTGGCCTTTATAGTTGATTTTCAAGTATTTGAAAAATTTTATTTGGAAATGGATTTCCATTTGGTCCATATGTCCCCACTGGGAACCACTTGATGGAAGTTTAAGGGAATAGAAATCCACTTTAAAAGAGGAAAACAGTTTAATAATAAGCAAATTAGATGTTGTTTCTTGGGGATAAATGAGCTCATCATTTTGGACATATTTCACTGACAGTTTGTGGAGGGAAAATGGGACAAGAACTCATTTGTATGTTGTGAATGAGATTAAACTAATAAATTCCATATTTTCTTTATAATCCTAAGACATTATGTTTCTCTTCTTGACATCTAGTTGAAATTTGGTATGACTTCTTGCTGCCATTTTGAATAACATATAAAAAAGATCTGCAGTTTTTGTTATTGGCTAAGTGTTCCCAACAAATGCAACTGATCTTTGCATTTTCCTTTATTTTGTAATTGGTATTACCTCTAGCATCTGCTTTTATAGGTCACAAATCAAAAAGAATTTATAAAAATACAATGTTGATATTTTAAAGGATCAAGTCATTATAGCGGCATGCCTGGGAAAATAGTTCCTGAGATGTCTAAAATTTATATTGGATGGTAAAACTGAAGTATATGCCAAGGGTTAACCACCTTGAATTTCGCCCTTAAAATTAGTCTCAAAAAATCTACCTCGTTATAAATACATTACTACCGAGTAGTGTCCTTCTGATTGATATGATCAGAGCTAACTTTTACAGCAGTCTTTTAAGCACCAATCCTTCATTTTGTTTCTAAAAATGAGATAGGCTCCTCCTCCCTAGTTCAGACATCAATTTTTACCTGCCAATACAGTTTGATGAGCTTGCTTATGCATTGTTCACTTCCTCCACAGAGCCAGAACATGTAGTCAGCAATCATGGCACTCCTAAGAACAAGGACAGATTTTTAAAAAAGCAAATTTATAGGACAGAAGGAAAATTATAACAGGCAGAATATATAAATACTGAGGAAAAAGACTATAATGTATAAATTTGACTAGACTAATATTAAGCAAAGCATAAAACGCAATTTAGAATGTAGAAAGTATGGTTGATTTTTTTTCTCGCGTAGCTAAACTAAAACTATAAGAGAAGCAACAAGCCATTTGTCTTTTAGATTTTTTTTTTCCTGTTTGTATGGTATAAGAATAGTATTTAAAGACTACATGAGAATGCTTTGTTTTGGTTGCCTCTTGTTAAACTTTCAAGCATTTATGGAATAACATGTTTTATGAACTCTAAAATGCCTTCAAACTTAGTATAACACATATAGTTAACTATTACATTGGCATTTAAGCTTATCTCAGACTTTACCTGAATTAAAGATTATTCACCTCTGATTAAATTAGCCTCCTTAAAATAGAAAGTAAAAAATTTCCAATTCAACAGACACTTCCCTCGCCCCAAACTTTGTGTTTAATTGAATTGGTTTTAGGATCTAGCGTGTATAACCACTGCATTAGTCTTATTAAGCTGAGGGGATATTAAAAACCATTGTGCAATGGATATTAATTCATTGCTTAGCACCCTTTGGAAAAACAGTTTACTTTTATGACTGTTTCTCTGCTAGGCCTCTCTATTTCTTTTCTCCAGAGATTCCAAATCCAATTAAATGTGACTAGAAGTAATTCTAAATTGTCACGTTAGCCAATTAAACATATAATAATCCTGTGTACCTAATCACTAGCACCAAAAGTTTATTTATTTAAGTAGAGCTATCACTGTGTACCCCTGAATGTTTTCCTTATCTTTGCCTGCAGATACGTGTGGTTTCTTGACATTATCGTAATCGAATTAGAAATTTTCCTTCCCTAAATGTAGGTTGTCTAAGGCACAGCAGCTACAAACTTACTACAGTACTCTGCTGAAAGAATTAAAATGTTTAGATTCTTGCTCAGAACAGAGAAAAATTAGGACTTTAAAAATGAACAATGGAAAAAAATACCACCATTTGGGGGATTATTCTGCTCAATATACACATTTTTTTAATACATGTGATGTTGGAAAGAAGCTGTCCACTGACATTTGAACATATATGACAATAATTTAAGGATAACTAATCTTTTAAGAATGCCTTTATATTTTTCAAAGTTCTAGTTGAATAAGATTAAGTGAGCTAGGAGGCCATAGGCCCTCTTCAATATTTCAGTGTACTGTTTTCTCTTCAGGGACAATGTATACATTGCACTAAAATTACTGTGCAGAGTTCAGGAAAGAAACTTTACAATTTTGAAACATTCAAAATATATAAAAGATAATTCTGGCTCATAGACCCAGTGGCTTGAATTAAATAAAGCTAAACTGATAGTTTCTATTACGTTCATGATTGTCAGTCATCTTGTATTGGAACAATTTTGAGAGAAAAGGAGATAGATCACCACAGTAGGTTTCTAGGGCTTTCCTGCCATTTCTAATGCTTTTAATGATTTGGTTTTGAGTTCCCCATTCACCAACGTACATTTAGAAGTTTCACTATTTTTATTAATATTTTCCAGAAGTTGCTTCTTCTGTAATGATGTGTTGTCAAATTGCTACATTCTTAAGTATGATTTTATTACACCTGGGGGCTCAAGTCTTTTTCCAAAGGAACACATCTCCAAATTTATACTGAAACAAGTGAGGAATTAAGATTCATTGAAATTTGTTACCTGCCTTCAGTGAAGCACATTATCATAATAGTAAAAAGATACTGATATTAAATAACAAAATATGGTTTCATAAAACTACATGTTTGTAGAGATGTTTTTCTAAAGTATAATGTGTTTCAATACCTGATACAGAGCAGTGCTCATTTTAGGAACACAATTTAGACAGTAGTTGCTCTAATGCCATTTTCTTCACGGTGGAAACGGGAGTTATGCCTTTACCACCCACCTTCCTTTGTTGGGTTTCCTGTCATAGCTTTGCCCTACAGCTTAGCCTTTGTGAATCAGTATACAAATAAGGGGAAGAACATGAAAGGAGCATGGAAATAACATTATACCGTGTAATATTTGCGAGGCAAGAGACAGGGGTTTTTCATCATGCTGATTTTATACAGGGCAAAGACAATTATTTAATCAACTCAGAGCATCTACAAGGAGTCAAGTACCTTGTGGGATCCTGGTTGTGGCTGACTTACCTCATGAATCGAATGTAATCAGTAACCTCTCATTCTTTTTACTTTCCTTCTGGTATCTCCACTTACTTTTAGACCAATATTCTGGATGCTAGTTAGTGTGATTCAATGTTGCTTCAAAGTGTCATTGTTGAATTGTCATTATTCTATTTACTTTATTCTATTTAATCTATTGAATGTTGTAGCTGCACTGGAACTATGTGATCGTACCAGCCAAACCCTTTAATTGACAGTTGGTGTTTTAATATCTGTCAGTTTTGTGCCTTTCATTGCTGAGCACCATGTTAAGCTCTTTGCATAGTAGACTGTGAATCTAACCCACCCACACTTCTGCAGTAGAACTCATCCTATTGAGCCTACCCATGGAAACTGCTCTTGCAATAGTCTCTCTCTGTCTCGTTTCCATTCTTTCTTTCAATTTTCCCTTTTCTCTTGAACTTTTCTACCACTACACAAAAATGCTATTCTTTCTATCATCTTAAAATGAAACACCCCTAAAGCTGCTTTCGATCCACTTCCCTTCCATTCACCATCTTAATTATTTTTTCTCAACAAATAAAACCCTCCTTGAAAAAACTGTGTGCATTCCCTATCTATAATTTTTGTCTTCCTATTCTCTTTTGTACTCACTGCAGCAAGGTTCTCATTTCCACTGCTCCACTGAAACTGCTCTCGGCAATGCCACCAGTGGTCTCTATACTGCTCGATGCAATGGTTGAGTTCTCAGTCTTCATTTTACAGGGCTCATATGGCTAATTTTGCAAGACTAAGATGACCTGGGTCATCTCTTGCTTATGCCTTTGAAAATGATAAGCAAAGCCTCAACTATTTTTCAAGGATGACATGAGATCACCACTGACCAAGTCCCTATTATTTAAAAAGTAATATGGTAACCAATCAGTGTGAAGAATGAACACGCACTGTTTTCTCACTATAAAAGCTGTTTTTTAACAATATACCCCTGAATCTCATTCCATGTTTTGGTTTGAGTGATTTTAATCTCATTTTATTTATTTAAACTGGTTTGCAAACTATCTTTTTGGTGTGTGTGCACAATAAATTTTTACTAATTACTATACTTCAGTGATTCATTGGTTTTACTTTGTCTATTTCTGAACCATTGACAGATACCTAGTAGATATCTCATTCCATGTTTTGGTTTGAGTGATTTTAATCTCATTTTATTTATTTAAACTGGTTTGCAAACTATCTTTTTGGTGTGTGTGCACAATAAATTTTTACTAATTACTATACTTCAGTGATTCATTGGTTTTACTTTGTCTATTTCTGAACCATTGACAGATACCTAATAGATATTTCAAACTTAACATTTCTGCACCAAAGATTCTGATCCTTTTTTACTTCCTGCCACCTCGGATCTCTAATCTTCTTCTCCATCTATCTAATTTCTTAGGCAAAAAATCTTGGAGTCATCCTTGACTCCTCTCTTTCTTTCACATTTCCTATCCAATCCAAGATAAAATTCTGGTCAGGTTATCTTTAACCTATATCAGAATCCTGCCCCTTCTTGCCACCCCCAGCATTACTATCTCGTCCGTCATGTGTCACCTGGATTATTGCAACAAGCTTCAGACTGGATTTCCTGCTTCCTCATTCATCTGTTTTCAACACTGCGGCCAGACGATCTTGAAAATTAGTGCGCTGGAGTAGGTTACCACTGTGCTTAAAACTACAAAGGCTACTTATCTCTCTCAGAGTAGAAACCAGTCTTCAAAATGGCATTTGAGTCCTATGCCATCTGGTCACATGTCACTTTGCTGATCTCATTTCCTATTTACTTTGCTCCAGACAAACTGTTTACTTTGCTATTCTACAAAAATAGTGCTATTCTACACTATCGCCTCTGGGATTTTGCACTTGACAGTACCTATTTTAGAAAGTTCTTTCCATAGACACCCCCTGACTCTTTTGTTCACCTCCTTCAGGCCCTTTTCAGGTGTTATTTTCTTAAGAAGGACTTCCCCGATACACTCCAATACTCTCCATACTCTTCCTTTTTACTTTTCTCACATAGTTTTATTTTATTATTATTAGTTTTAGTAGTGTTTATTGTTGTCTTCCTCTATGGCAGGGGTTAGCAAACTTTGTGGCCTGTGGCGAATCTGGTCTGCCACTTGTGTTTGTAAATAAAATTTTAATGAAATGAAGCAATGCTCATTTGTTTGTATATTTTTAATATATTATCTATATTATCTATTTCACATATTATCTATGGCCGCCTCTGTGCTACACTGGCAGAGTTGAATAATTATGAGAGACCTTATGACCCACCAAGCCTAAAATACTTGCTATTGACTCTTTACTGGAATGTAGTCTCCCTGAGGTCAGGGATTCACTGCTGTATATGCAGTACCCAGAACAGTGCCTGGTATGGTAGTCACACAATACATGTTTATTGACTTATCAAGCAAACATTATTTTATTTATTTAAACTAAAAAAAATAGATTCTTGTTACAAAGAACCTGAGGCCTATAGAGTTACTCAGTTTATTAGAAGTCCAACATAAGCAGTCTGGCCCTAGGACCTCCTTGTCCATATTAACAGATGTTTTTGTAGTAGGGCTGGCATGGGAATGGAGTGACAGGGTGGGCTTTGTCAACCTAATTTGTCCAATGTAGAATTCAATGCAACATTTAGCTCATATGAGAGCTTAATAAATGCTAATAGATGCTGATGTATTTATTACATAAATTAAAAAGGAAAGGCACCAAGAAGCACATCAGCCTAATATGTTGCATCTCAAATTA